GCCTTCTTTTTTTCAGTACGAAAAGACGTAAATGGTACAAAATGGGAACATACTGGTCGTCGAAACCTCTTGAAAGAAATGTATTTCACCCGAAGCAATTTCAAAGAAACAAATTTTATTCAATAAAATTTCGCTTTCTCCGGCTTGCCTCTGAAATAAAACATATTTCCAGAACAAGATTTTAGGAAGTTAACTCGTCAAGTAGTGCATCTACTTACAAGTAAAAAAATTATTATGTAATTAAGTAGGCATATAAAATACTGTTGAGAAACTTACCTTATCCACAGGACGAGCACAATAACAGCACTCTGCACTAAAATAATAGTCATGAAAAATGAAGACGACAAACAGGATATATTCGTACAACTGTCACCAACAACTTGCGCTTTTGGCTGGAAAAAAAAAGTTAAAGTTTATGTGAAATTTCCATTATGCAATTACTAAAGACAAAGAAAAAAGTGCTGAAGAGAGTAACGAACAAAACAATTAGTTATGAAAAACTATTCGAAGAACTAAGAAATAACGATAACAAGTATTCTAGAAAGGCATAAAAGCAAACATATTCAAAAGAAAGCACTTCTGAGCTACCTGTAAGGTATTATCTTACATCTATTTTCACCACTTATCAAAATTTTGTGTGAAAAATTACCGTTCCAAGTTGCGTCGTCCTAATTTGTCGCACATCATTTTGTATTGCTTCAATAAGAGGTCGTAAAGCCGGATCTGATGTGGTGCCAGATGGAGATCCCACTGCACTTCCAGCACCCATTTTTTGCTCGAGATTATAAGTACGAGTGAAGATTTCATTTACATAGGTCTTCATATCACGTACATTAGATGTTAAATCTCGTAGTGACTACAAAACAAATATTTCGTAACACTCATTAAAGTTTTTTAGCACATACTGAATCAATCCAATTGAAGTAGATTTCATGAAAAGTTATCGAAAATGACAATGACCTGTAAAGCCTCATTCTTTTCATGTAACTGAAAACTTCCAGTATCGATAGCCATTTGACCTGATCCACCAAGTGCAGCTCCACCAGCTCTACCTGCACACTGTTGTATCATTGAAGACTGAACATTTTGTTGTTGACTAAAAGCAATGTCTTAAAATAGTCTTCAATTTTCTACCAATTTCAAGCGTAAAAATATCACTTAATAATACCTAATATCTTGTAATCGACCTTCCAAATGTTGAAGAATTTGATGGATATTTGTTTGCATTTCAAGAATCATCCTCATTTCTCTTTGCGATGCATCTTCGTATATTTCAGCAATCTCCTCATCCAGTGTATCCGGTTTTGCTTTTTCTGGATGCTCTTCCTTGTATCTAAAAAAAAAAAGTTTTTTTATTACACTTCCATTTTTCAAAAGAAAGCTAATGAAGTATTGAAAAAGCAGGGTCAATTCATAAAATTAAAAATTTTATTTTATACAACATCTATACTTTTGTCGTTCTTTTTCATATTCTTTCATTTGTTTTTCAAATTCGGCATCATATTTCTGTTTTTCTTCTTGCGGAAGAGCTGAAGCGGCTGGTGCTCTATCGGTATATAATGAAAAGACACTATACTCAACAATATCATGATCATCTGCTAAACCACCCGTAGCAGCGGAAATACCTGAAAATTCAAAATTTTCACTATTTTAACGAGAATAGTTTCGAAACCTATGAAATCACTACTTCATTTATAGCGAAACATCAACCAACTCAACACAATTATCATTCTTTTCCTATAATTTGCAATACATACCGAAAAATCCGTTCTTCGGTAAAAATATATTTTCAGAGCGAATACATAATTCGTAGCGGGGTGTAGCCTGTAGACCATCGGATAATGATACAGTAAGAACATTATTAAGATATTCAATTTTCAAATGTACCGGATATGGTTTGTTACGAAAATCTTTTTGACAACCTGAAACACCAAAAATTTTAGTATTTTTAATGAAAAAAAATACTCAAACAAACTTTTATGAAATTATTTTCATTAAGTGTAAATTACTGCAATTAATTTCTTTTCCAGAAATTAAAATGAAGTTCGAGCGAGAACTTACCTGAAAGCATTTGCTGCGACCCATCTGTCTGATGGTCATACTGCCTGGTACCATCGTTAATCATTAACGCCACGAATGGATTATTTTTCTGAGCATCATTATCAAATGAATCCAAGAAAAGCCCCATTCCTATCCAGTAATCATTTGCTCCAAATACCTGCAACAGAGATAAGTAATCTTCTATTGAGGTAGGGATGGCTAGTGACATTAAAAAAAGTATAAAAGAAAGCAAATTTTGACGAGTGATACAACTTTATAGGGAACAAATACGTAGACAAATGTACATTTTCCAGTAATTAAATAATGAGACAGAACTTCAGTGACTAGGAAGTATATTGGTTAACTATTACTGAAATTAGCATCAGCTGTTAAGTATTACAGGAAAGTTCAGAGGCAGTAAGTTAGATCAATACTAATACCTTTAACTACTAATATAATTGAAATACATAAGATAGTTGCAGAAATATCTACTTACAGGACCAAGAGTAGGTTGCTGAGCAGTATACCAGATAGCAATACCATCAGCACCAATACGACCTTGTCCAGTTACTCGAAAAGCCACTTGAACTTCAAAATGACTTGACTCAGCCATTACTCGTTTGTTCCATGCAAGTCCTAAAATTATTATATTCAACTAATCGTAACTGAGAGATCTAGCCATTCATTTCTCCTAATAATAATTAAATCATTGATATTACTAATCAATGTATAACTTTATAGCAAAAAAAGATATCATTTACCTTTCCGACTTCTCATCGATGGTGCTAATCGAAGTTGTTCACTGGATGCTACTGCATCACCAGTTATAGACCAGAATGGTATAGTACCATCACGTAAACATAAATCAGGTGCACGAAAGCTATGTTTGTATTCAAAACGTCTTTGTACTGGTCCATTTACAGCTTGTGTTAGTAATGATAACCTATATATTGTTATTAATGATAAAAATAATACGAGGGTGCACATTCGAGTTGCCCTGAAAACTGAACAAATAATAATACTTGTGGTAATCATGCAAAACAATAGCGAAATTAAAAATTTAATCCGACGAATTAATTTAATAATGAAATCAGCAATAGAAATTTAATATTTTTTGCTATATGGATAACACTACCAATTTCACACAACAAAAATGTATGAATAGAAAAGAATTGCAATTGACCTTTCTTCTGCTGAAATAAAGAGGTCAGGGATTTTCAATTTACAGTAATAGTGTAAGCTTTAAACCAATTCACCAATAACGGAAGGATAAAATTTAAGTTTTCATTACAAAATTTTAACTTGTATAACCATCAGATAGGTATTTTTTGAAACAGATGATAAAAGAGGTAATTAAATAATATATATGTATGTATAGATCAATCATCATCTGTAATACCACCTATATATTATATCAGTTTAAATTTAATAACTGAATAGCATAGCTTTGTACTCTATACTTCTTGATTGGATAAAGAGGAAAAAAGGATATATCAATGAAATAAGGCAATCGGAACAAACAAAGTTCAGTAGACAATTCCACACTTTCAATCGATTTTCCCATATTTTTCAGTCAAAAGCAAAAATTTTATAAGTTTCACTGACAATCAAATAATGATCTCATCTGAACGTCTAAATGACGTGTAGATAGATGGCAAATTATATCAAAAACAAACATTTTTATTCATTACTCTACAATTTATATTATTATTTTATTCAATGCAACAATTTATCAAACATTTACTCGTGCTAACGCATACTATTTCAGGTGAACCATTTAAACACCAATAAAGCCAATAGAATACCAAAATATTAAATGGTACTCTCTTGTTCATACTGGTACTTCTTTCTCTTTCATTCGAATTTATGAAACAAAAATTGATGAAAATAATTTGGCATTTGCATGACAATACAATCTATTGAGAAAGAAAAAAGGAATATCTAATATATAAGTGGTCCAACATGATCAGTATCAAAGGTGAAATTTTCGTTTTCTCAAAAAGAGATTTTATTTCTAAATAATTAAATTATAAAATACGTAATAATAATATAATTAATAACATAATATTAATGATAGCATAACAAGTTTACTGTGACACATACATTCTAATTTGTGAGAAGGATTACTCAATGTATACAGTGGTTCATTTAGGAACCAAATTTCAAACCGATACAATATATTTATCCTAGAATTGAAAAGTGCAAACAAACATCATAGCTTTCTAATCAATACTGTCAACAGTTCATTGAAATATTCAGATTTTCAGCTTATTAACAAACGCTCGCGACACAAGTAAACATATTACACGTTATAATGGGAGACATGGATAGGAAAATGGAAACAAAATATGTATAGTATTATGATGTCATGTGTTTGAAAAAAAATAAATGAACTAAAACTACCGAAAATGCTATGACAATAAAGTGAGACATAGCCTGCAGAAAATAATGTACAAAAAATCTATTAAAATAATATCTATACCTGTACTATGATAAATAATGTATACCCGATATGTTAGAAAGGACGTTTTTCGAAAGAAAAGTATTCTTCATGTCAGAAAAACTAAACAAACAAAAAACATACTTTTCCTACAGAAATTGTTTTGAATGGAACTAATGAATACCTTAGTGATAGTTTAATTTATCCATTTGCTAGTTAGATTTTCAGCATTCCAATGGCCTGATTTAATTAAAAGAAAAAAAAAGTAGGTGCTACGGTCTTTTCGACAGTCCAGCAGCTTGCAATGTGTTCTCCCTTTTAGCACCAGTATTACGTATCATATCATCAAGGTCAAATTTTGCGCAGAAATTTTCGTACTAGGCACACTTTTAATTGCTTAAACCACAATCGGCAGAAATGATTTCATTTGTATCACACTTATTCATCCTAATCAAAACTTTTCATATACCTAATTGTGACAAAAATACGGCTTTAAAATTCGAAAAACGTCTATAAAATATCAATTCCTGTAGAGCAACATTTCTCGAGCAACTGGTCCAACTATTCGAGCATATTCTTCCATAAAAGTTTCCGTTTCTTTAAAATCTGGTAGAGTTAACAAAATTCGATAGGATAAAATATTCCTGGAAAGAAATTTGTTGGTAATAATTGTTCATTGTATTTTTGAATGGTTGATCATTGTGAATCATTGTAAACTTACATTTTGTAAAGACATCTTACGGACTCTATTGGACACTTTTCAGCTACTGGAGCATCCGGAGCGAATGCTTCAATTCGCTCGCCATATCTCTCCATCATTTCCAAGCATTTTTCTAACGGTACCCACGTGAAACTACGATCGCAGAGCAAATCGGATGGACGGAAACACTGCTTGTAGCGCATTTTCTGACATGAATGGATATAAAATCCCATGTAATAGTAATGTAGCTGTGGCCTTTCTTTTGCAAGCTCTCGAGTGAATGCAATTTCTCTGAAATATATGTAAATTCAAATATAATAAATCGAAAATTCAAGGATCTAGAAAATTTCATCAGAAAAATTCATAGAACCTAGAAAACAGTTTGTCAGTGGTAAAAATTTCCTTCTAATCTCCAAGATTTCGGAAAAAAACAAGTGATCGGAAAAGCTTTCCAACTCTCAAAAACAAACTTCACATTATCCACTCAGTTAAAATGTTGCATTTTGTTTACCCTCACTAAGTAATATAACGAGAGAACTTGCCAGCTTATGAATTTACCATAAATGTTCCAAAATTCTACAATAGAAAAAGCAATTAAAGCACAAGATTTCAAGTTCATGATGCAATTTTATTATGATTCTTCGAATTACACGTCGTAAAGCAACATAAAGCAAGCTGAATTTAATTTGTTTTTATTCGAATATTGTCGACCCTGCACAATACATGTAAAATCTAAAAGTTCATAATCATACCGTAAGGCAGTGTATGTTCCAAGGGTGAGAAATTCATAGTCAGGATCGTAGTAGAGATATTTGGCTGATAAGCAGCGTGGCAAAATATCTACAACACCAACAGCTATTAAACGACCGTCAAGGTAATACTGTTGATGGTATGAACCAAGAGCCATACTCTGAAATCAATTCACTGATAGCTTTTATTATATTTCCCTGACCAATTTTTTAAAAATGACCGTAAATTCAGAAAATACTTTTGGAGTGTAAATTGGCAAGCAAGACAAAATTTCTCAGTGGTGTCTGTCAAAAATCAAAAAAGTAGTTTTATGAAGAGTGAAACGAAACTATAAAAACGTAAGATTAAAAAAAAAAGAAATGAATAAATAGCTTACCTTACTTTCGCCTTTTTCATCACTGAAAAGTGGTGAGTCAGCAAGGAAAACCCGGTAGCCATTTCTATTACAACTAGCATTATGATGAACAGTTGTTTGGTATTTTTCGTACAGTTTGAAGCTTTCTTGGAAAGTCTCATGAAACACAGATGAGTTGACGTCAACCAAACGTACCTACAAAGAGCAAGATATAAAACTTCATATGCTTGGTTGAAAAAGAAAGGAAAAAAATGCTTTTAAATAAAGTTAAAAGTGAAATAAAACAATAATCATTGAAATCTGTTAGTCTAATAAGAATTTTCAAAGTATCTGGAAAGAAGAAATTAGAAGTAAAAAAAGTTTCAAAACAAGAAAATAAATTTATAATAATAAGATACCTCTAATTTATGCTTGAAAGTTTCCGGACTATAATTGATAATGAATGAATTCAATGTTCTTCTCCGAGATTCTTCTTTTTCTCGACGTATTCTTTGAGCCTGAAATTACCAAAAAAAAAAAAAAATTAGTTAAAAATTTCAAATCAAAAAATCAGTTCTTAATGCAACTTGTTCGATGACCTTAGAATCCGATGTAAACCAATTATAGAAAATATTCATAACCACAACCAAAATATTCATAACTTTGTCTGATTCACACTGTTTTAAACACAAAATTTAGTTCTGTACGCTCATGTAAAAAAAAAAAGAAAATCATTATTTTCAGCAACAATTAAACCATTAAAAATTCCGCTTGTAAACTGTGTGCAATTTATATTTCATCAATTTGGCAACAATAAAAAATCCGAGATGAAGAAAATCCAAACCTCCATGATATTGATACCTTTGTCACGCATTTTTTGAAAAGCTCTTTCTCGCCTAAGAACTTTTTTCTTCTTTCCTTTTTCCCGTAACTCATCATTCGGTGTTTTTTTCTCATTATCCTGGACTCTTCTGACTTGAGAATTTGATGAAATTGTGCTCCTTTCAGTCGTTTTTTTCACTACATTATAATCTGTTATTTTCTGTCGTTCGTTCGGTCGAACATCTTTCTGAAGGAAATCATTCATTCGACGCAACACCTTTTTCTGTGCTCTTGACAATCGGAAACTGTTGACATCAAGTCTGAAATTAAATTTTCCAAACATTAAAACTGACTTTACAACGCATCGAATATCTCCAAGTACCAAACATGATCAAAGTATGTTGTCTAAAGAAAGGAAAAAAAAAAAACATTCTAGAATAGATACCTAATTGTATATTGTGGACAACATGTATTAGCTATCATCGGCTTGTACAAATACTTACCAGATCTGAAAATAAAAAACTGCTTAAATGTACCACAAAGCTAAAGATTGAAAAATGATACCTTCTGATCCCTCTATCAAGTAATTCGTTATAGTGCGAAACAGAAAGACTGCGTGCCCACATACCTGAAATTTGGGGCCTAGATTTCAATAAAAGCCACAGGACTTTGATAATATATGAAAAACTCTTCAAAAACAAAAGTAACTCGATTTGCTTTGTATCAATGTTTCATAATTCAAAAGTAGATATTAGTCAAATTTCCTTTGGAACAAAGCATTTCTGTCACTTTTGTTTTATTTGTAGAATTACCGGTTACATCCTCTATCTAGGAGCTGATTAAAGTGCTCGCATGACAGATAATAGCCCATAACTCCTGCAATATTCAATGAGATGCTTCATGGTCATTTTAAAGTAATAGTTTTTTCATTACAAACAAAAACTCATCAAATGTTAAACTAAAAAGCAGAAACATAGAAATTTTTAAGGAAAAATAATGAACACAGAGTTGATCAAAATAATTCCAAAAATGAAACAAAGTGGAATACCAATATTGGTTGGACTTGCTTCCTCTTTGTGACAATAACCGCACATCCCACGATCATTATAACCAATGTACCCAACAATGGAATATTGTTGCTGCTGCTTTTGCACTGCGACATCACTTATATTTGACATTCTTAAATATTCCTGTTTGAAATATACATTACATATATGTTCAATGCCAGAACATACAACAGCTGCATGCTAGCATAATGGTATCATGTATGAATCGAACAAGCGAAATGTCTATCAGTAACATTTAAAGAACACTAGTTATCATTTATTCCTATTTTCAAAATACAATCACACCAAATCAAGAATCTTTTTTCTCTTGTTTCTTCTCTTTTTCTTTCTTTCGCGATGTACGTTTCTTCAACGATAGTTCCTCTTTCTCCGTTAATTTGGCTGCCTGTAAACTCTCGTTTACTTTCAGTTGGTAGTTTAACTAAGGAAATAAAATAAAGATGCAAACAGAACACTCAAAATATTTATCAAGGAAGATGAACTACAATATTCAGAAAATTAATATTTTGCTTTCATTAATGAATGTAAAACTCTCGCAACATTTCCGGATATTTATTTTCAAATGAATGTAATTACTAACTTTCTTCTTTGCTTCAATCATTTTTTCAAACAATATTGGAAATCGTGGATCACTGGGCGAAATTTCATAGCCATAATAATCAAGCATATCTTTAGCTTGCTGCTCCGCTTCTAATTCCTGTTTTGATTTCACCGGAACCACCTCTTTTTGACTCTTCAAAAACTCTCGCAACATTTCCGGATATTTATTTTCAAGCGCTGCCACTTCCTCAAGCCTGAAATGAATAAAACTTAAACATGATTCATCCAAAGGCCATGAATTTTACAAGTTTTACAAGCCTATACGAACAAAAAATATCTCTATTCTGTAATAATAGACATTCCCAAAGCATGATTACCTTGCCAAAGTATTAGCATGCTTTGACTTCTTCGCATTTTCAACAGCTTTTAAGGCATCACTGTACTTCGCATACCATCCTATAGTTTCTTCTTCCTGAATCTCCTACAACTGATTAATCTTACTGATATGCATTATTTGCCTAATTACTTCCTCAGTGCAATTACAAAATGTTTTTGAAATACCTGGCAGAATAACCTCAAGAGATAATGAATCAGCAAAATAAAAATTAAATTTCGCTTTAAAAATGATAATAGTTAAGCAAAGTTTAAAACAATTCACTCTACCAGTAATGAATACATAGTCAATCATACAGTATTTCTTGAATATTATTTCTTGGTGACATTCCTAAATTTTTAAAAAAAGAAAATAAATTAGCCATGAATGCAATCCTCACTTCAACACTGGGCCATAATTCTTCAGGTTTAACACCACTGGCCAAGCCATAAGTACCGAAACGTTCACGTTTTGCCCATAACTGTTTCTCCCATTCATAAGTCACAGGTGGTAAACGACCTTCAGCAATTAAACGATGCCTTTCGGTCAACCTGTAATTAAAGTAGTACTTACTAGTCTGACTAAAACGAATAATTAAAATCAAAAAAATAAGAAACACAATAAAAGCGGAAGGTGAAAGGTCAAATTCAAGAGTACCTTGACACAACTTTAGTATTCTTATTCTTGCACTGTTCCTCCTGTAAACTTGATGAACTATTCACAGCATCTGAAGTTCCTGCTATTGCTGTCGTATCCAGAAAGGATGAATATCGAATTACACCCATCATTGATAATCGTCCATACTGAATCATTCCAGTTAGATTGGAAAATTACGAATGCAGAATAATGATAATAGTCTGAAAATATATTCCGGTTATTACCTGGAACAAAATAACAGATACCTAACTAACTAATAACACTCATTTTACAACTGTTGGCTACTCGGCCCGAATCTGTCACTATGCTATGCTTTGGAAGAATTTTGTTATCTTTCGAGAATGACAATTCGGGATAGCTTAGCTTCACTCACACCTGTTAACTTGCTGATATTATATTTAACCTTCTTTTTCTACATCTTACAAATAATCCAGTAGGAAAAGATGTGATAAAACTGTAATAAAACTCAGTTAGCACTATCAAATTCTAATTCACAGTTAGAATTAGACTTACTTCAAGTGGAATTTTTTTTTTCCTATTATTATTTGTCATTATAATTATTATTAAAAAGAAATATTTATGTATATTATGTTTTGAGGGGGTCTCTTATGACTGATGTTGAAGCCACCAAAGTGGCTTTGGTTGTTGGATTTAACTGTTGGTGTTGTATTCGTTTCCGGTATTGCATCATTTGTTGTTTGGCGACGTTCGGAAGATTTTAGAAAGAGTACTTTCTCACGTGTACCACGAATTGCTGATTATTTTTATAGGGTTTTCTTTCTTTTTGTTTTTCTTTTTCCTTCCTAATATTATCATCTTTATTAATTTTTGACTTTTTATTTCCGTAAAATGAAATGTTATTATTATTGGTATTTATTTAAATTTTGGGGGTTTTTTTTTGACACATTCTTGAATTTGATTTCCAGGCAGAAGATATAATTGGTGGACAACTTCGAGGCACACGTTTAAAAAGAAAAGATTACCACAAGTGGTTTCCGGAAGAAGACGACAAGCAGTGACTTCTTCTAAATTCTCAACATGATAATTAAGCTTTCTCATGTTAAAGCTTTTATGCTTCCTGTTGGTCTTGTATGTAAGTAGTAATCACTTAATTTGCATATTCTTATAAGTGACCGTGCAAGGATTCAAATTTCTACTTGAATCTCACGTCCTATCTTACGTTCATTAAGGAATTCGATAATTTACTTTCATCTAGCAAAACTAACACTAGCAAGTAACATCAGCCATTTCCTCGAGAAAACAAGGTAAATAATGAAATGGAGAATAGATTGGTCACTTTGAGAGAATTGAAGCTTGCAAAAAATTCTTGCTTCGAAATAGACTATTTGAAAATATTTCAGCTGTTGTAATATCTTCTCTGGCATATGATAACTGGAAAAAGAAGCAGCCTCCAAAACCAATGCCAATTCAAAGTCTGGACCGTTTTGAAAAAATGATGGAATCTATGAATGGATCTATGATGCGACCTAAAACCAACAACTAATTCGATTAGCTTTGTTACATAACATAATATGTAGAACCGTGTATATTTTTCTACTTATCAAAGTTTTCAACTCTTTAATAGCATTATATCTAATTATCAGGTTTTCCATAGGACAGAAATGAGGAACAATGGCTTATGCTTTGATGATTGATCGGTTGAGATTTACCCAGAGTTTTTACTATTTTTATTAGAAGAGAAAGAGGAAAATCCAATTTTTTGGGTGTCATAGTTAGTATTAGTGCTTTATGTTCTGCTTTGCAATGTAAAATTTTGCTTTTTGATTGTCAAATTATTTATGAAAGGTCGAAACTTTTTGTGAAATATTTTTTAGAGAATAAATTTATCCTTTGCTTCTGCTGCTTGTTGTTGGAAGATGAGAAAGAAAAGTGAAATTTCAGTTAATATTCATTCAGTTCTTGCATGATTTTTCTTAATAATAGTGGCATTTAGTAGGTGATAGAATAGTATTTCACCGAGGAATAGCGGGTTTTATTGAATTCTTTTAAAAACTGATTGTGGTAAAGAGAAATGAATTTTGCAGCATTTTTGATAGTTCTTGAAGTGGAAGTGAATTTGTTTTGAAGATGAGCCTACCCAGGAAAGTACCCACTCCAACACCACCTGCAAAAGGATCCTTTCCACTTGATCATGAAGGACATTGCAGATATGAAATGTTGAGATATATGCTTTGCTTAAATGAACATGAGGTAGGCGATGGCTGAGTACTATTTTCTGTTTCTTGGAAATCAAGAAAATTTTCAACCCTTATTGCGTCATTTTTTTTTTCCAGCAAAAAATTGGTGAGTGTCGAGACTTTGCAAAAGTTTATTTACAATGTCGCATGGACAACGGATTAATGCAACAGGAGGAATGGAAATATCTCGGTTTCTCAGATCAGAATGAAACGTAACTATGAAAATTTTCATCTTGGTTCTCAAACATGAATCGGCTTGTTTCATTTCTAAAAATATGCAAGGCTGATCACATACATACCGCTGATACAATTGCTTACCCTATAAAAGATCTTGCAAAATTTTTGCACTGAATTTGCTAAGAAATGTTTTATTCGAAGTTTATAACATTTAGTAAAACAGGAAAAAGTTGAAGTAATATTGAGATCAACGCGCTTTCTGTATTTTTTCGTTAGATGGAGCGGAGGAAATTATAATAGCTTTTAGCTGTTCATCCTTTTAAAGTTGGTTTTTACAGAATAAGCGAATTACTTAAGTGAACTAAAAGCTCTCCTAGTGAAATTAAAGAATTTTCTGTTTTCTTGCAACACTGTTTTTTATGAATGAGTCCATATATGTAGGAATATATACAGTTTATAGGTTTATTTATAGTAATTCTTTCAAAATTAATTTATTGTTATGTAAAGTGCAGTTGTAGTTTAGACAAAATAATGAGTGGAAATGGGTGGGGAGAATTGGTAATTAATTGTAGACTTTTAAATTTTCTGGAAATTGGGGATGGTAAAATATTTCAAGCGAACATTTCGAACTACTGATAGAAATTTCTCTAAAGTAATTCAAATAATTCTGTGAGTGTGACTTTATTAACCAGTCTATAACTCACAGCAAAATGACCAGTTAATTTATCGTTATAACATCATATTTATAGCAAAATATGGCATATAATTTTCGGTAAATTATTTGATTAATTAAAATCAATTGTTTCTATAATTTCAATTAAAATAATTATAAAATAAATGCATAGCGGTTACATATACGTCCAGTGATGCTTGTTAATATGTTAATTTATCACTTTTTATCCTTCCATTTTGGCTATTTCTTTGTAAATTTTAAAATTAACAAAGAAACTTCCAGCAGTTTGATATAATATTGTAAATTTCGGAATAGCGCTATTCATGAATCTTATAATGTTATGTTTAATTCAATCTAGTTATTTAACATTTTTACTAGAAATATTCATTGATAATTTCTTGTAATACTATAACCTTTTTATCTTAGTTGTGTTGTTAACATTTCGCTAATTGCTTTAGGATATGTTTCAAATTTTGACTTCCAATTCTTCTAT